GAGGTGAGAAGGAATCTCAGTTAGTCTTTGGAGTATGAATTAAGTGAATTTACTGATGAAGGGAAACAATCTTTATTTTCATATGAAACAGATAAAATTTTCAGAAAAGACGGAAACATAATTTATTTTTTTTCTGACACATTTATTCACAATCTAAATTCCACTATAGCAACCCAAGATAATTATTTCATATTGTTTTTCTACAAACAAGAAATATGTCGATACAATTTTTTTTTTTTTTAATACAAATCTTTCTAAGTAAATTCATGTTTTTACCTGTGTCATCTGTTGCTAAACGGGCCGTTACGTTATAGAATGACACTGACAACTGGAGATCGATAACCAATGAGTATATTGATTGGTTTGAGGGCGTCTAATATAGCAGGCAATTCTGCGCTTGCGAGATATCAGATTACATCATTGTGAATACGTTTAGTTTTTTTATTGTTGCTTGCTAACTTTAATCTCTTCTCTGTAAAAGTGTCTCAACTGCTTAATAAACTCTTATTGAATACAATAAATGAGAACCTGATTGTAACAAACTTACCTGCTTCACGTGCCCGCACTGATAACCACTTTTCCTCCTGGTTATTGCATTCAATCTTCAACTGGTCGTCTAACGTCCATATTGTATTGAAAGTCAATTTGGTTTCTAATTTCTATCCATAACAAGGGAACAAATTTCTTCCAGTTCCTTGCAATACATATCTTTATTGCCATAAATTATCAGTCCTATTTAGAACTTCTGAATTAGCTACATGATGGAAATACCATTTTATTTTTGCTCAAACCATGATTTTTGCTATAAGATGTAAATAGGGCTGACTGTAATTCTTGTAATGTCCAATCTGATCTCAGCATTACCACAAATAGCAAAGTAGGGAAATGTCTTAATGAAATGAGTAAAACCACCAGCAGTATTTAGGATGTATTTACTTTATTTACAATAACATTGCTCGATTGGTCTTTGTGTTTTGCCTGTTACACATTTTGTGGCTATGAGGATGGAAGTTTTACCATTTTAAGATTTATTTTTGATCTCTACATACTTTTTTAATTTGATGTAGTTCGCTTCCATTTTCTATTTTTATTTTGCATTTTCAAGGTCTAATACATACCTTACTTAACAGTAAGTTAACAGTAAATACAAACAGTGTTTACTAGCCCCTTCCTGGCATCTTACCACTATCACTATAAAGTCATTTTATATTCACATTTATAATAAGTAATTATATTTTCTTCACTATTCTTACTCGTCCCTTCTTTTCCTTGTGTCGCCATATGTTGGCAACTTCCAAGCCATAAAGCATTCACTCTAATCCAGATAATCCTGACCGGTTCTGTATTACACACATTCATGTTCACCAATATAAATACATAGACGATAGCCCATAGCATGTGTTATACACTTGGTGCCCTGTGTTACCAGATATAGAGAATCCATGTGTAGAATAGGATTACAATAAATAAAGCAATGGGTGACCCATTACACAGGGATAGTATTTACACTTTGCTCTAAATAGTGATGAGAATATTTACTCCATTATCTGTTAACCCTTTTTATAGAATATTACACATAATACAGGTGTGTGATTTCTAATCTGAGTTTAATAATTACCACTTTAGAAAAATGGTGTAAGAAGTAACTAACTATCAGTAGAAATGTATGAACGTGTATCAATAATGAAGAGAAACTCCCACAATGCAACTGGCCAATGACAGCCAGAAAGATACATTATTGTAATCCCAGAGACTAAGGAAACAATAATGTGTATTTGTGCAGAGTGAGGAAACAGATCATGTTAAAATGAGACAGTGACAGGCAGAGGCAGTAAAAGGGGAGGAGAAAATGCCAACATTAAAGGACCACTATAGTGCCAGGAAAACATACTCGTTTTCCTGGCACTATAGTGCCCTGAGGGTGCCCCCACCCTCAGGGACCCCCTCCCGCCCGGCTCTGGAAGGGGGAAAGGGGTAAAAACTTACCTTTTTCCAGCGCTGGGCGGGGAGCTCTCCTCCTCCCTCTCCGCCTCCTTCGCCCCCTTGGATGAAGCGCGCGCAAGAGGCAGCGCCATTCAGCGATTCATAGGAAAGCATTTACATGCTCTCACTGTGAAATTTTCACAGTGAGAAACGCAAGCGCCTCAGTGGCTGTCAATGAGACAGCCACTGAAACTTTGGGGAAGGCTTAACCCATTCATAATTATAGCAGTTTCTCTGAAACTGCTATAATTATGAAAAAATGGGTTAACCCTAGAAGGACCTGGCACCCAGACCACTTCATTAAGCTGAAGTGGTCTGGGTGCCTAGAGTGGTCCTTTAAGCAGAGTTTACATTGAGATTCAGGCAGTCAACACCCACTGCACATGGCTGTCCCTGGAACAAAGTGCTTTATGGGTTTAATAGTCACATGTTATACAGTAAGAGAATGGGCTCTTACAGAAGGATATATGTTTTTTGCTCAATAATTACTATTTTGTTTCTCCTGTCTCCTCTAATTTCCCCATGAATTAATGCAGACATAGTTCTGCAAAAAAAATATTTATATTGTAGTGTTACAAATTGTGAAAAATTAATTATCTGTAAAGTATTTATAATTACTGTTTATTGGGGGTTGGAGATCAGCAGTAACTGTGCAGCATTTTACTAGAGATGTTATAAGCAGCTTCCTTTCTGCACAGCATTAGTAGAGATAAAAGAGGAAGGTTTTTGTACGGCTCTGTATCACTGTGAGAGGGAAGCTCTGACGCTGCTGACAGTAATAATCTGCTGCATCTTCTGCTAACATTCCACGGATTGTTAAAGTGAAACTGGCTCCAGACCCACTGCCACTGAACCGGGCTGGGATCCCAGGCTGTCTGCTGCTTCCATCATAGATAAGAAGCT